AGAAAAGTTCCCTCGCTTCGCAGCATCTTCAGAAAAAAAAACAAAGAATCTTGAAGAATTGTGTTCTTATTAATTTAAATTTCTTTGTTCAATATTGGATTAAAAATCCTGGTTTCTTTACTTTTTTTGATGCAGAGTGCACTCTTAAACATGATTTTTTTTAGTTTTTGTAGACATCTCCAAAACCTAACGAAAAATAGGTACCTAGCTTGAAACCTGAAGTGTCAAAAATTGTCTTATTGTCCACGTCGAATTGATTTAATTAAGGAAAATCATCCCATAATAGACAATTGTCTATTATGAGGTTCTTTAAATTATAATGATGGTTCTTTAAATTATAAAATTAATTTTATAATTTAAAGAACCAGCTTCTTTTTATTGTGCTTTTATTAAAGTAAAATCCAAAAAAGTTCCACCTTAAAATTGGCCAAAGGATCCAGTTTTCGTAATTTCTTGAAAAGTTATTAATTGTTTCGACCTTTACTTGATGAAACTATGTAAATATACAAACAACTATGTTTTGAAAGTTTCACGTAATTTATTTGAATGTTGACAATTGTTTCGCTACACAGTAGCTTCTTCAGAATGTGCTACTGTGTAGCGAAACAATTGTCAACATTCAAATAAATTACGTGAAACTTTCAATACATAGTTGTTTGTATATTTACATAGTTCTTGAAAAGTGTTGTTAATGATACTGCCGAACGAAAAATTAATCCTATTCATATATATCCTGACCAAGAATACTTACTGATATGTATACTGAGATACTGATCTATATTCTTCGTCTACTCTATAATCGAAAATAGTTAGTTTCCTGAGACCTTAAACACATTGCCATAGAAAAACCTATGGGGAGGCCAATAAATGTTACTATTATGTGGTCAAAATAATTAAAACTTTTTTTTTTGAGAACATTTCATAATTATTTTGTATGTTTATTAAATGAGTAAGTTGGTAGCATCTATTAGCTAAATTAAGTATAATTTTTTTAATTTATTTAATTTGGGGGGGTCGCACCCGCTGAATCCGCCTTTGCTGATGAATATTCCAAAACAACTTTATTTTGTTCTACTATATAGTTAAGCTTTAATTGATACTAACATTATTAATTAATTTTGCAAAATTTATCAAAATAGTTAACACATTTTTCCAAAATAAAAAATGTATTTTTTATTTTAAAATGGATATATAAATATTAGGGTGTCCCTTATTTTTATTTTTTTTACGCATACCCTCCAATTATATTTATTATTTGTTTATATACTCCCAGTAAAAATTTTAGCTCATTCTATAAACGGGAACCCGTGCCGACTTGCATCTGTACCCTCCGTTAGCCAACGTTACACTCTGAAAAATGACTTAGTTGCTTGTAATAAGACCCTAGTAACCCCAACAAAAAAAGTTATTGGGTTTAGACTCAACTAATATTTTTGTTGACATAACATTATTTTTTAGTTGTTAAATCTTTTTTTTCTTTTTCGAAACAAAAAAAATTTGTTGTAGCAACTATTCTGTTTCTTAATTATAAATACTACATAATCTTAAGTCAACATGGTAAAATTTGTTATGACAACAATATTTTTTGTAAGTCGAACAAAAGGTCCTATTAAAACTACAGGTACCTATAATTTAAAGATATTTATTACAAAACGTTTTATAAAATTAAAAACTTTACATAAAAAACATAAGGTACATTCTATAAATTATATAACAACCTACCTAATTTAAAGGGCTGTATGACACATTAATTTTTTTTTTAAATACTGCTAAATAAATTTTGATTGACCAAAAATTTAAAATTATTTTTTTATTCTAATAACAATTAAATCTTAATGTGTCACACAGGACTAAAATATATTTTTTAAAACAACGTGCAATCCTGCCACTTGATCCACTAATGAACACGGAAAAGGGTCTGAAAGATCGCTATAACGTATACAAGAATAACTATCGGTTTTAGAGACAATAAACGAGTAAAAGTGTTCAGAATACTCTTTTATGAATAAATTTTGCACAACAAAATAAATATTCTCTTTTTTATCCACTAAAATTTCTCGTATAATACAAAATTTTCGTTCCAAGCTTTCAGAATCAGCTGCTTGAAGTTGCAGTACAACTGTTGGCTTATATATCACGTTATTTTTTTTCACCCACTTGGTTAAAAACCAATCTTCAAGGTTTTCCAGAAGGTTTAAACAACCTGGATAATTTTTCGAAAAATATGTTTCAGTTACTTTATCCATAGAACCATTTAAAAAATCCAAAGAAAAAGAACGGTTTGTGATATAACGATAACTCAGCTTTAATTGATGTTTAATTGCAAGAGTTTTGCATATGTTTTTTCTCGAACAAGATACATCCGCAGTCATTTTAGACTCTCGGTGCTTTGATTCATGTCTCATACTCCAGATGTTAATTAAAGGTCCTACATTTTTCATAATGTTTGGATAGTGAGTCAAATAATGAAATTTTGGTTTGATGGTTTCTTTAAATAGTTTCTGATATTCAAAGTTATGTTCTGCAATAAGCCACCGAATAAGATTTATATGTATAGATGTTACAGATCGCGCAGTAACAATGTCAACAATTTGCCTTAGTATTAAGAAAAAAGCCCAAACCGAATCATTTTCAGGCACAAAATCGCCTACAAGTACAGAGAAAAAACGAATAAAACAGAGCATTTCACTGGCAGAAAATTGCAACTTCTTTTTTTTACAAAAATCATTTGGAATAGGTGGAGGTCTATTACCAAGTTCGTCATTATAATTAAATGTCTGCAACCTATAATTTAGCGTATCAATAGAAAAATATTTTACCACGTTAATAAAATAATTTAATATTGGTATGATGTCATAATGACATACACCTTCTAGGAGATCATGCATTAGGTCAACACTAAGATTTTTAGTGACGTGAAAATTTCGTAGAGAATTAAATACACAATTTTCTTTTATGCCACTTTGGGATACATCGTTAGCTTCCACATCTGCATCATAATTCTCTTTAGTCCTCATAAGATTGTCGTTTTGACAAAAAGAAGATTTTAAATCGCCTTTAAAAATCTTGCAAAATCTGCATGGATAATTAGCTGAAAAACTTTCAGAAAAACCTAAAACCGAATGTAAGCCTAAATTATCTCCTTAAACCAAGATCATAGTTAGCAAAATTTTATATTTTTTATTGTTTGTTTTGCTCGTAACAAGTATCCCATCTCTTTCCAGAATTTTTAGCTCCTCAATTAAAGTCTTAAATGTTTCACGGTTACCAAAGTTTTTTTTGTCATCAGAATGAAATAATAATGCTAAAAATATATTTTCCAATTTAGAGTTAAATTTTGGAGGTATAGCTGGAGTAGATATATAAGCAGCTCCTAATTTATGAACCCCTGCATGAGAGCCCAACGGGTTCCCGGTTTCATAATCATCAAAATATAAAAACAATGGTAGGATTAAACAATTTGGATCAGTACTTTCTTCATATGAGTCGCGAATAGCATGCCAAAATGGAGTCTGCATTATATTAGAAATTTCAGTTTTCGAGCTAATTTGCAGGTAATTAATATAATTAAGAATTACATTTAAGTTATTCCCACATTCAAAGAACTTTGTAAATACAGTGTTTAATGGAATAAACTGTGCTTTAGCCGGAACAGACTTATAAAGAATTGTTTCTTTCGTTCTAACATCTTCCATTCGATGACCAACTGTATATTCGACAGGTTCTATAAAGGTCTCACATGCTTGAAACTCTTTAAGACGTAAGTACTCAGATGAAAGACCTTCGAAGGGATTTTCTAATAGTGATAACATTTCTACAATATTAATTTTCATTATAGAAGATAAAGATGTTTCTGAAAAACATTGCAGAACATAATCTTTTAAAATCTTGACGAAACCACCACCAAAAAAAATTATAAATTCGTCAACTAATTTTTGAACGTGACTTCTTGGTAATAGTGACATATCATATAATGAAGCTATGAATTTCATCGATTCTTGTTTAAGGCATTGTTTAAATGGTTCGATGTTGATAGGTTCATTAGAATGTGGAATTAAATTATTACTGGAGAAATGTTCCTGATTACAATTTTTATTGGTCTGTGACTGCAAATCTTCTGTCTTGATTTCTTGTGCAACAGTGTTTTTACCTAAGCTAATTGTATGTTTTGTGCGAAAATGTACACGAAACGTTTTTGCATTTGAAAAGTTTCTGACGCAGTCGTCTTCTCTACAACGATAAACACTTAGATTATGATATTTATGACTAATTTTTAAGTGAAGCAACAAACCGTTTATGTCCGCAAAATATTTAGAGCATTCTGAGCACTTTGCCATATTTAAAAAACGAGTCAACAATAAGAAAATAAATTAACTCTTACTTAATACTTACTTAATTTTTAAATTCTTGTAAAATAGTGGACACAGTGACGAATGCTTTATCGAACTGGGTGTTAATTTCAAATAGAGTTTTCTGTAAAAGTAACCAAATGTGCTCCGCTTCCACGGCGTAACATGCATGAAGAGCGTGAATGATTTTGAAGCAAAGTTCAAATGATTTTAAAGGCGTTGAAACATGGTATAAAATGTCATTCACACATACATAGCAAAATTCAATATTGTCAAGGTCAGGGCCCACAATTACGGGAGTTGGTTGAAGTGTACATTTAAATTTAGCAAGTTTATTCCGTTTTTCGGCAAGTTTTGGTTGTAAATCATCTAGTCTCTAAAAAAATTAGCAAATCATATTTAAGAAAGTACTTACAATACAATAAATTCAATTACCTTTATGTGGATAAAAAAACCCTCTTCAACTTCGCTTTTAGTAGGGCGCCACTGTTTTTTGACAACTTGATTCCTGAGCAAAAATGGCAGTAAACGAAGTAGTCGAATGTTTTTGCCGTCTGTAAATATAAATGTTATGTTAGTAAAAGTATTTAAGAAGCCTGTTATATGATATATTGCCTTCAGAGTTACAACATTTTATTTCATTTAAGATACTTCTAACATTTTTGTCTTTGTTGCCTTCCGCTATTTTTAATACTTTTGAATAAAAGTTTTTCCAGTTTGTATAAAAGTTTAAGTGAGATCCATTAGGAAACAAAAGTTCAAAGTCCAATTCAAGCTAAAATAATTAAATAGAACCATTTATAAATTAACATACTTTTTAACACACCAATGTATATCCCTTGTTTTCTTTTAGTACTTGGAAATGGTTAAAATATTCATGAATGTTAATTGAACCTTTTAAATCTGAATATCTTTTTTTGAAAGTTTTTTTCCAGAAACTTTCAACTTTAGACCACGGTTCTTGGTTATTTTTCAGCCATTGTACGCATTCCAAAATTTCTTCATCACTCTCTTCCTCCAAGCCGTCTGAAAATAAGTGCCAAATTAATTTTACAAATTTTTAATGATCTGTGTTTTATATTACCAAAATCATCATTTGTAACTGAGCGAGAGCTGGAAATTAAGTTTGCTGTCTTCAATTTTCTTCTGTAGTTAAAATATCTGGAAAATAATTTTCCATGGCCACATGTTATCTTTCTTCTCTCCTTATGCTTTAAAATGGTGGAGAAATAAACCTCCTAAAATAAAATTAAGTTAAAAATGTACCTTTACTTCTTGTTGTAGGTACTTTTTGTTCTGTTGGGAATAACTTGACAATTCCTGATGCCAATTCTTCAAATCTTGCTCTTGATATGCGAATATCTAGATCTTTTCGCAGTTCATACTCTATTAAAACATCTACTAGTTTTGTTCTTGCGTCATTATCTAATTTGTTTTGTGTGTCGTACAAGCCAATAATGTATTTGCCGGGTATGCAGTTTTTCAACACAGGTTTTAAGTCAAAATATGTGTGATGTCTAGGATGAATAGGATCAATTACATCTATTACTGTTTCTGCAGTTGCTTCTTCCCCTAAAAAATAATTATTTTTTACTGGAAATTAATAACTGATTAAACCTTTGGTTTGTTGGTACCACTGTCACTATCAGTAATATTTTGAATATGCACTGAGTTAGGTGTAGATGTCGTGTCATAAGTGTCAGCTCTGGAGGAATTGATATCACTACCTAAAACAATGTAACAAAATGTTAAAAAAGCATAACTTATGATTTCTGTTATATATTAGGTATATGTATTTTAATTTAAAACTTTTAAAAGAAAAAAACAAAAAACAAAAAATAATGGAGGTATAGGTACTTAAATAAAACCCTGTACTGTTTAAGAGGAGCTGGTGGTAATTAACTCCAATTAAATTTAGACTCCAATAAAAACTGACTACATTAGTAGCCATGGCAGTAGCCAGATATTTCGGCTGCCATTGTAAGACCAAGGTCTTCATAGCCAGGGCATCATGAGATAAAAGCCAATACGAGAATTTATGTACTTTTGATTTAACTAAAATTCCGATATATTGTATTACCCCCTAAATACGTTTATGTAAATTTTTTTAATTGCTTTTTTTACCTAACAAAAATTAAAAAAAATGGTGATGAATGACCAAGTTTTCTTTTAACTTGCTTTTCAGTACCATTCTATGAAATGTTACAGGTTTTCGAAAAATTACATCAATTAAATACGCCATTTTACTTTTTTTTTAAACTTAAATTTATTCTGCTTTAATGAAGCATTTTCTGTATTTTTTTAATTGAAAAACTTTTTTTAGTTTCTTTGCTATCTAACTTTGTTTAAATAGTAAAATAAATCTAAATAATTATAAAAATAGCAGGAAAAGTTGGCCCACTATGGGATGTGCGAAATTAAACGCAAAATAAATGAAAGTTTTTTTAAGATTAAAAATAATAAATTTATGTTTTCTTCTTAAAAACTGAAAAATGTATAAGCGTTAGGTGGGTAAAAAAGCACAGAAACGTTTTTAGTGTGGTACCTAGTTAATTTCAAACAAAGGGTCAATATAGAAGTTTAGGAATAATAATTATTATTCCTAAACTTCTATATTATAATTATTGTCTTCATTTATAAATGCTATATTATAAAAATATATTAAATTTTAAATCAGGTTAAAATTTTTGCCTGTCAGGACAGGGCGCCGCGGCGCTCCGCGGCTCTCTGATTCACCCCTTGGTTAAGGCCCTGGCTACGGCCCTGGCTTATACCTTCAGTTTCGGCTGATGGACCTGACTGTATAATCAAAATATCAGCATTTTCTAGTGTTTTATCGAGACTTCTTTGCTTTATAAATTTTATTCTAAGCCCCAATATAGGAATTAGTTCTGCTAATAACTTTTCGTCCAAATCATAAAAGCAATCCTGGTCAATAGCATGTTCTTTAAATTTTTCAACAAGAGATTCCAGTCCATAAGAAATTAATTTATTTTTGACAAAGTCGTCCATTTTTTATTATATTTATATTCTTTCTGAAAATGACGCAGAATGTAAATAAAACAATGACGTAAAATATGGAGAAGAGGAATCGGCGGGGCGAAGAGAAATAAAACGGCTAGATTATAATCTATATTATAATCTATACCTATACCTATACCGCAAAGTACCAGGCGAATCATATTTATTTATTTATATAACTTTTTTGATCGACTGCAGCCAAACAGTTTAATTGCGGCCTATCGAATTTACCCATACATATTTTTACCCCATGCCGCCGTCCCCACGAGTGAGAAACCTAATAAAAAATTCTAAAAATGGTCGGCCACTGTACCGTACAGTCTGTATTTCTGAGTGTATTCGATAGAACTTGGCCGTACAGACTCTGTACGGCCAAGTTCTATCGAATACACTCAGAAATATGTTTGCCTCCCCCGCCCCCTTAAGCGCATGTGTAGCAAATTGAGTTTTATAAATTGCATCACGAAACTTTTTCGCCCCCGCCGCCGAACCGACATATAAAAAAGTAATTATATACGCTAAAATATTTTTTATATAATGAAAAATAATAAGGTAGTTTAAACAGAACCAAAATGAAAAAAAAATCGAAATATTTATAAAAAATTAAACGTATTAAACATAATTTACAACATTTTTTAACTAGACTTGTCCTATACAGGCAAAAAAACAAAATATTTAGGGGTGCATTTGGTAAAACTTACTTGGCCATGATACAACAAACCATGTTACTTGGCCGCACCTAAATTGTTTGGCCGCACTTGATCGAAAAAGTGATAAGACGTTTTTAAAGTAAATACACAAGTAACCAAAACAAAATTTAGTAAAAAATATAACGAGAAAAGAATGTAGGTAGGTACTTATATTCAAATATTAAATAAAGCCTAGGTAGGTACCTATTTACTTAGAGAAATTTTCATATTAACTTAGAAATTTGGGATTTAAAACATTGTGGTTATGTTAGATTAAGCTGAAGATGCCGCTTTAAATCATTCTGTTAAGGTACCTACAATATAGCTGTAGCTTATCGTAAGTAATATCATAAGGGCATTTAATTTTTCCGAAAAGAATCGAAAAAACACGTTGCTAAGTAATATTTTAACAAAAAGCATGAGTGCTGGTGGCAACAAAAATCCGAGTCGAAGAGGAGGATTTTTGCACCTGCACGAATGCATTTTGTTAAAAAATATTACTTAGCATTGTGTTTTTTCGATTTTTTTCACAGGAAAAATTAGATGCCCGAATGGTATTTGACAAGACTATTTCATGAGTAACAGTTAACAATTAAAATATAAATTGCAATTTTTGGTGACAACAGCTGTCAAGTTTTGCCGCGGGTAAACTCGAATAAACTGCTGACAGGTGCTGTCACACAGTTTTTTCACCTAGAAACCATTTGTAATTCAAAATTGCGCGTTTGTGATTGGTGGAAATTAAGACGAGGGAAATAGTCAAAATTAAATTACTTACCCTTGATAATTAAAACTACCTTACTTGCAAATTCACTTCACTAATGTATATTATAACAATCACATGCATAAATAGAAGCTCTAGGTACGCGGGATGATGCAACCAAAATATGAATAACCGCGAAGACAAGACGTTAACCCTCTCTCTTCACACGTTCGGTAACGCAACATAGAAGTTTGTTGTCACAGCAAGTATATTAGTTACTACTAAAAAAACAGTTAAAAATAATTTTAAGTAGCCACAACAGATTCCAATTTGTTCATATTTGCAACCAAACGTTTGCCATAACAATGTGATCTGTCATAAATAAGAATTTTCTTGCAACAATTTTTTTTTTGTTACAATTAGTAACTACTTTTTTTGAGTGTAGGCGCGCAGTATTTTGTAACACGAAACACTTTAAAAAGATATACTTCATGACTGTATTTTTCTAATGATTTTATTAAATATGATTACTAATTAATATTATTGCTTTTGTTTCTATCATTTGTTTCACTAATTTAGTTGATTTTATCCCTTAAATATATTAATATAATTAGTATTGCTAAAATATACTGTTATATGAAATTTCAGCTTTTTATAAGCATTTCTTTTCTTGATGTCCTCCCAAAAATATTTCAGACAGTTCAATAGGTTTTCGGTAGTCATCTCTCACAATAGACTCTTTTAGTTATTTAGAGTAAAACCCATTAAGTTTATCAATTTCAGAGTTTACGGCCTATTCACCAGACCCTTCCGGGTAACTAGCCACTCCCTGTGAAAATATACATTTTTATCAAAGTATACACATAAATAAAACTATATTTTAACATTTACGATCGAAGACCTCGCGACCAACCGTGTTACAAAATACCGCGCGCCCAACGTTGGCTAACGGAGGGTTCAGATGCAAGTCGGCACGGGTTCCCGTTTATAGAATGAGCTTTAAAAATAAGGGACAACCTAATAAATATACATTTTTCTCAAAATTGGATTTGTTTATGTTAACTTTAATTTAATATTTTTTATGGTAATGCCCCGTATATTTATCTTCTGGGAAAATTCCTTTGTACAAGATGATGGTACATGGTGCTTAGTCAAGTTGAATGTGCATATTTGTGACCACACTTGCATGTAATCATTTTTTTCCTTCAAAAATTATGGAATATTTATTACAAATTGTTCCTTAGATATACAAGTTATAAATTGTTTATTACAAAAGATTCAAAAACATCAAATACATATATTAGCTGCTTATCAATGGTGGCTAGTGGGGGACTAAGAAAGGTGCGGACCTCTCCGTACCCCCGTTCTAGAGGGGCCCCCAAATACCGAAAAAACATTTTAATAAAAATAACGCTGAAATTTTTTGTTCAGGAATTCGGGGCAAAATAGGCGTTCACAGCAAACGGAAAATTATAGAGGTGTATAGGATGACGCCACGTTTGAATATCGTTTTCTAAATCTCCCTACGGTATAGAGTTGTATTCGTCAGTCGATCGTTTCAATACTCTCCACAGTATAGAGGTCGTAATTTCACTTTTGAACTAGTATTAATATAAAAATTATTTTATGCTTAAAAAAACTATATACGACATGATTGTGATTTTTTTCATTTTATTAATTAATTAAGCTGTGTTGAATATTTTTCCTAAAGGAATAATTGCCAATGGGCCATTAATTCATTTGTTCGTAGATACTACTGTAGTAACAATAACCTGCACTGGTGTGTACTTTTTCATCAACCAGATTTAAATATTACAAAACTAACATATACCAGTGGAGATAGTGCAGGGTCTACCAACAGACCTAATTACTAAATTATTAAAGTTTAATAGCATATCGATCATTTTTTCAACATAACCTCTGAAATTTTTAATACAAATATAGGTTCTTTATATAATACATAAATATACTTAACATCATATCATCTGTGCTTTACATACCTGAGTTGTTACGGTAAATAAAAATCAGACAAAGGAACCAAAGAAAGGAACTATTTTCAACAAAATCATATGCAGAAAGGAGAAAATTCAAACTACTTGCATCCATCAAAAGATCAAAACTTCTTGCAATATTACACCCTCTTTTTATACTCTCAGAAATATTGACTAGAACAGTATTAGAGAGATTCCAGTTTCTATAACTTGGTAGAGTAAAGAGAAGTCGAAACCGTTGCGATATTGCATTGCGTTGTTTTTGTATAATTTTCGGGGACATTAACGAAAATCATTGCCAGTAAAATTCGAAAAGCTTGAGT